AACAAGGTCAACTGAACTTCCATAGTTACTGTCCTGTCATCTACAGGGAAGTACCATTTGGACAGCCCAGTTTCCAAATAGTGATTGAGGCCCTTGAAACATTTTTAGAAACTATAGCTATCGGCACTGTGCCTGGTCTGAATTTTAAGAGCAGGTTAGCGTTTAAGGGGCTCTTTTCCTAGAGTGACTCTGGTGATGTTATTTCGGGATTGCCTCTTCTAATAGAGATGTGCCCACCACTGAAAATCATCACGGGATCCCTGGTTTATGTCTCACTATCGAGATTAAATGCTGGCTGGACAATTCTGGGAGCTGAAGTCCACACGTCTTAAAGTTGCCAGGTTTGAGAAACACTGATCTAAAGGTGGGTGTCATTTGAGACATGGACTTCTTTGTACCAGCACCTAATGGAGAAAATGTTGCTGCAAGGAAGAAAAACAGCCTCTTCTTCACCCAGCTTTAGATGGGCGGAAAAGAATCCATCGCACCATTTTTAAACACTGTTTCCGAATGTTATCGGGTTGAACGTCTTGGCTTTTAACCTTATTATTTGGGCAGTATTTTTTGTCAACCCTCTTTTGATTGGTGTTTCATTTGAATTATTACTTCAGGTAACCACGGGATGGAGATTCAGGTTATATATTTCACAAATAAATAGGCTGCAGAGGACTTATTTTTCAATAGAGGTGGACACAGGATTGTGCTATAATTCTGCACCACCCAATTTTAAAATGCAGTTTGGGGCATTTTCATCACCCCCAGAATAACTGTTTTCGTGTTCCTCTCTTCCAGATCTACTTCCCTACTTTATTATCTATTTATTTCCTTCCTTCTCTCCTCTTAAAACCCATCTTTTGTAAGAACTTTGAGAAACTGGAAATTAGCTCTCCGATTGATGGGATTTTTTTTGCAGAGACAGACAGGACAGAGGGACTAAGAAAGGGAAGGCAGTTGTAATCCAGAGCAGAGCAGTTTATTAAAATTTAACAGGCTAGAAGCCCCACATGGTTATATTTAGCCCTAGATAGGATGTCAGTTGTGAAAATAGCGTGTTGGCCAATGGCGATGGTGTCCCATCCCCTCTGGTAGGGCAGGATGGTCTCAGCCCCACCTCCCAACAGCAACTGACTTTCACAGGAACTTACCCTCTGCAGCTTCTCTGCCCTCCTCCTCCTCCTCCTCCCTGGTTGGTCCTCAGCCAAGAAAGTCAATGCAAAAGCCACTGTTGCGTGCTGAGCCCTTCCCAAAAGCCTCAGCCTCTCAGGTGACATCAGGAGAGATGGGTGAGCACGCTCCCATTCCACCTCTTCTCCTGGGACATTGATACTGGCAGGCTGAGTTGCAGCACCCAGAAACACGTAGGGGTCCTCATGTTGTCTCCAAGATCACCAGCCTCTGCTTCAGAAGGCAGAAGATAGGACTAGCCCAAGGTGGCTATCTGCAAAACCAGGCCAAAGGACATCGTGAGCCAAATAGGTTTTTCTTCTCAGCCAAGGCACTTCCTGTCCCAGTGTCAATCGTTCAAAGGTCTGCTTCGGGAAAATTTTTCCCCCAGTAAAAAATAAAAATCAGTAGCAACTGGACTGGACAGTAGTGTTATTCCTTTATAATGCTCATATGGGAGCTTTCTGGTTTATGGAAACATTTTTTCTGTGAAGCCCAGCAAATCTGTCAATCATATATGTTAGTGGCAAGCAGAGAAATTATCTTGAATAAAGGTTTTTATATGGTCTAGATTTCTTATGTTAAAGGACTGACCTGGTTGTATATTAATCCTACGGGGATCTTATCTTTTTTCTTTTTGAAGTTCAAGTTCATTTTAATAACTATTTAATCATGGTTACATCTAATTTTAATTCTAAACCACTGTTGCATTATTTTTATTAAAGTCTGTAAAGTTTCACTATAATCATAACCACCTAATACATATAACAAATATATAAATAATAAATTTCAGCATAATCACAATCACCATAGGAGTATATTTAAAAAAAGAGAAAAATCTTGTATTTTTTCCCCCTATTTGTTTTCATTTAGCTTGATAAGGGAGCAGGAAAATATCAAAAGCAAGAGAATTTCAAACATTCTCTGGAGTGGCGGATGGTATCCTCACTTATTTACTGGTGAGATGGCTGAGGCTTGTGTGTATGTGTGAGACTGTCCTGTTTTCATGACAAAGCCATCTCACCCATGGTCTGGAATCTCCCTCCAAGAAAATCTAACATTGTTGGACTGAGAAAGAATGATTGACCAAAGTGAGTTCTGTATTTGAATGGAAACCTGCCCCTCTCCAGCCCCAGTCAATAACCTCTCTGACACACTCACTGTACACAATCATCTTCCTCTTCCTCCTCTTCCTCCTCCTCCAATACAAATGTTCAGTGTTCTTTTTTAACCTTTCCTGTGGAATTGCTAGTTTGCATTCCAGGTTTTCTTTGCATAGCTCACTTGTTTGGCCATCATATGTTATGTAAGCCCAAATACTGTCCTTTGTTAACCTGGGTTTAAGATACTACAGAGGTACAGAAACAGTGCCCAGATGATGTTGCTGAACCCAACCAGCACTCATCAACAATGAGGAATAATAGCTGAATTGTAGTTCATCAACATCTGGAAGGTTGCAAGTTCTCCACCCTGGCTAACCTTCTTAGTGCCTCTTAGTTTAAACAACTCATTTAGTTTATCTTGGAAGCTATGAAGCTGGTTGAGCTTAACACAGCCTGCACCAACCTGGGTACCATTCCAGATGTGTGAATTTCAAGTCTCAGCGTTCTCAGGAATGGCCGTGTTGCCTGGAGCATTCTCTAAGAAGTCAAGCCCAGGTACCTGGAGGGCATTTGAGTGGGGAAGCTGGTTTAGTGAACACAGAATTCTTTCCATGGTTCTGGGGTGAGATATTTGTACTTTTATATCCTGTATCTATGGTCAGAATTTCCAAGCCTTTCAAAATTTAAGCATTGCCTATGGGGAGGATGGGGCACCGACCATGTGGGGCTGGGGAAAGGTGTTTCAACCTCCTCTCTAAAGACAATTTTGCTTCTCACTGCAGATCAGGGGGCATGACTGGGTATCTTCTGCTCCCTTCGGTGGTGGGGAAGGAAGCTGGTCCTCCACCCCATCTCAATAGCCATCCCCAAGCCATTCTTTCCTTCCTCTTTAGTGCATTCAGGCTGATTCATGGCAGTTTATTATTGGATTGTAAAAGCAGAGTCTGGGCTGGATAGTAAATGGAGAGACACACACAGGAAAAAAAAAAGAGAGAGAGAGAGAGAAAGTGCTAATGGATCTCGGAAATAGCTCCAAGCTTTCCTTTCCCCTTGCTCATTTGACAAGAAAACTTGGGACTTTGGGGGTTTCTTGGCTCCAAAATTAGCTGGTTTGTCTTTTTTTTTTTTTTATGAGCATTTTGAACACTAGAAGGAAGCCAGTGGGGGGAAAAATGGGTAATCATAAAGAAACCAGAAATCAAGTTAGCCCCCCTAGGATTGATAAAGGAATCCTATCAATTTGATCTTTGATCTGATGTCTTTACTGAATAACCCCTTTCTGTTCTTGGGTTCAGTACAGAAGCCCGCTGTGCTTATATCCGAATTAGAAAAGACACTCGTGTACACACACACACACACACACACACACAGAGAGAGAGAGAGAGAGAGAGAGAGAGAGAGAGAGAGAGAGAATGAACCAGAAAGGAAAATGGGAGAAAACTGAAAGCAGTCCCACAGAGCGTGAACACCAAAAAGCTCTCCTTGTTTCGTACTTTGAGATGCTGATTCAAGAAAAGAAGAGAAGAAAGTTTTACTCTGCTCTCCAGAAGCGCTGTAAGGGCTAGGTGAGGTTGGTGGCAAAGGCGTTCCTCCGATTGAACTCGATGGGGTTTACTTCTCAAGGATTGAACTCGATGGGGTTTACTTCTCAAGAAATACGGCTGCGGTCCTTAGGAATAGTTATCCAGAGCAAGCTTGCCCAAAGTAGATAGTGTGCATCCTTCTTGTACTATTCGTGTAATGGGCATGACAATAAAATCACACAGCATGGAAAGTTAGGCAACACACTTATCTAGAAAATGGGATCTGCAAGAAAATGTTGCAGCGCAAAGTTCACCTGAACAGGCCCCCCCCAGGTAGCCATTCTTGGCTGAGGTTCCCCTGTTTTCCCTCCCACAGCCCCCCCCCCGCAATCAGCAGTCCAGACACCGAATCGCTAAAACTGTCCAGTCCACATAGGTTGGTGTTTGATTTTGCCACCCCCCACCCACCCCATCCTTCTGTTTCCTTCCTTTTAGGTTTGGCCTGCTTAAATACAGAAG